GAGCATCCAAGAATCATTCCGGCGGAGCCGCCTACTGCCGCCAGCCCAGGGGGAGCCCCTCTGGGCCTGGGCTTCCCAGCCACCTGGTTGAGCAGGGGCCGAGCCCACGGGTTCTGTAGCCCATCCCAGCACCACTTGTGCATCACCAATGGCCACTGCCCTGGCTTGGGAAAAGAGCTTTTCCAAAAGCTTAGAATTACTACCACGTGTTTTAAAAATAATTATTAAGTATCTTTAAAAAGAACAAAACCTCCAAAGGTGCAACGAAGCAGTTGCTGGGGCTGGGCCCGCTGACAGGCCGCGGCCAGACACCCACGGCATCCCCTGAGGACGGGCCCCGGGGTCTGTGAGGCACTGGCCTTGCCCTCGGCCATCGGCTGCACGCACGCAAGCACTGGGTGGCCCCTGAGGCTGGACCCGCTTGGCCTCCGGGACTGCTGGCCGGTCTCCTGTCACCAGGTGGAAGGAGTAAGGCGTCTTATACAAGTTTCAGAATTTTACAAAGAAATTCACCCTACTTAGCATCACTGGGTAGTCCCAAAAAGCGAGGTCGGGGAAAAGCGATGTACAAAAGGCACTGAGGCTCCCGGGACACTGGGGCCCTCTGGTGCAGAGCGGGGCTCCCCCAAGCGGCCTGGAGCAGTCGCTTTGTGAGGAGGCCAGGAGCCGGGCGGTGCAGCCGTGTGGCCGCCCGCAGGACAACTGTCCAGGAGAAGCTGCTTCTGTGGTCACTGGCCCAGGCGTGTTTCCAGCCCAAATGGCAGATGTCACCGTGGCTCTCAAAGCCAGGATCGTCATCCCTGGACTTGAGCAACTGGCCGAGCAGTAGAGCCAAGGCCCTCGCATCAGGAGCCGAGTGACAACAGCCCTCCCAGAACACGCCCCTTCCCAGGAGCTGAAGTGGCCCCTGGGAACGCCCTCCCGCTGCATGGGCACCAGCAGCCCAACCCCACGCACCCCGTGCACCCCTCGCTGGCCACAATGGCCGGCCCCAGAGCACACACATCCAAGCTGCTGCGCCAGCTGCCCAGTTGTTTCTCCCTTGCTCCTAGGGAGGAGCCGTCTGCAGGACCTTGACCACACCCCGACACGTGCACGGCCACAGCTCGCCCACCCACCGTGAGGTTAATAAATGAAGTGGAACGTGCTCTCGTGTGAAGCTTTAGTGCTAACGGTGTCCCCTTCTTCCTGGGGTGCCTACAGCCCAGCCGTTGGCCAGCAGCACCATCCTGCGGAGCTGGCCCCCAGGGCAGGGCTGTAGCGGCCGGGGCTGCCCATGCCTGGGGAGCGCGGGGCCAGGCCGGGCCTTCCTGGGCTGTCCCTGGAGGACACGGCCCTCCTGGGGCTGCAGCTGCGAGGGCAACCGGATTCACCAGCTGAGACTTCTGCCTCCCATGCAGGGCAGGCTGGCCAGCTGTAGAGAGGGGACGGCATCAGCAGGGACGTGGGGGCTGAGGGCAGGTGGGGCAGACGCCTGCACCCCAGCACACCGACCCCAGACTGTGGGCCCACGGGGTGCTGCCCGCCTGCCCCCATTCTTCCTGGCGGACAGCTACAGCACGGTCACCCACTGCCCGCAGAGAGGCCGGCGCCAGGCCCGGTACCTCTGTCTGTCCGCGGGAGAGAAGCACAGGACGGCGCTCTTCCACCTGTGCACGGCTGGGTACTGGCCGGGGTCCACATCCACGTGCTCCAGAGCCGCCAGGACATCCCTGTCCAGCTTGGACGGCTCCTCCCTAGGAGCAAGGAGAGAACTAGCTCAGTTCCGGGCTGAAACCAACCCCCACCCTGCCCCCTCCCTCGAGCCTGCACTGGCTGCGCAGGGGGCACCGGTCAAGGGGCTCAGGGTGACGGGCCCCTCAGTGGCTTCCACTGGGACAAACTCGCCCCAGGGACGGCTGGTCCCCGCTGGGGTGGCCTCTGCAGGCCCCGCCCTACCTCCCCATTTGGCCCCCCAGGTGCCTCTTCTCATTCACCCGGAAAGGAAGTGCCTCTGCGTGGGGCCCCCAGAGGCGGTGAGGATGCGGGGGCAGCTCCCCCGCTCTCAGTCCGACCGAGGGCAAGGAGTCTGTCTGGTGCCGATGCATCCCCCGCCGCCTCAGCTCCCGACACGGGGCCTCGTCCCCGCCGCATGTCCTAGGAAAGCCGCTTCCTACGCTCCGCAAGTTCAGCTTATCAAACTCCGCAGCCAAGCCGGAGACAGGTGGCGGGGAAGCCCCCTCCGCGCCAGGGCCCGGCTGCTGCTGGGGGTGGCGGGCCCATCCCCGCTGCCCTGGGGGCCGGTGCTGGCAGCTTCTGGGCTTGTCTTCGGCCCCAGGCGTGTGTCGTCCTCCTCGAGAAACGCCCTGACGGAGATGGAGCCACTGCTCCTCCTCGCGGGCGAGGCTGGGGCAGAGAGCGAGAGAGCAGCACCTCAGGGCACGGCCCTGAGCCCGGCCCCCAGTGCCCCGGGGCGAGGGCAGCCCGAGGAAACCCAGCCTGGCCTAGCTCTGCCCCTCGGAGGCTGGGTGGGTCCTCATGGGCGCCATGTCCTCACCCAAGGCAGCAGCTTTCTCCGGGGCACAGGCCTCGCCCCCCGGCGCGAGCCGGGCCCTCCTGGCCACGTCCTGCTGAGCAAGGTGCTCCTCCAGCCGCCGCAGGCCCTCCGCGGAGGAGAGGTCCACAAAACAGCCCAGGAAGTCCCAGTACTCGGCCCAGGGGTACTGCAGCTCGTGAGCCAGTTCCCTGGGGGACCAGCCCGGTGTCAGCACAAGCCCGCACAGGCCCCAGGGGTGCCGGGCCGGGCAGACAGGGAGCTCGCAGGGCTGCTCCGGGGTGAGCCGGTCACGGGAGGGAAGGAACCTGACCCCACCCTTGCTGAGGGACACACGAGGTCAGAGGTCGCAGGTGAGCCCATGTGAGGCCCCAGGATGCCCGCTGGCCGTCCCGCCACGGGGGAAGCTGGGGCGCTGGGCGGGCCCCACACATGGAGGCGCAGGTGCCCTCCCCAACTCCAGGCTGTGAGCCCCGGACCCACAAGGACTCTGAGAAAAGCCCGAGCACCAGCGGGGTTGTGCCTGCCCCCACTCCGCCCCGCCCCGCCCCGCCCGTGCCCAGAGCACCTGCCCACTCGCTCGGCGCCTCGCTCGGGGTCCGACTTCCTGACACTGTGGAAGAGGCCGGCTTTCTCCCGCGGCGGAGTCTTCCAGAGCCTGCGGAAGTCCTCTGCCTGCGGGAGAGCTGGCTGAGCTGCAAGCGCACCCAGCACTGGGGCAGAGGGTTGCAGGGCAGGGGACAGTGCCCGTCCCATGGCCGGTCACCAGGGCTGTGCTCTGTGTGCCCAGGTTGGCCCAACACCGCGGGCCAGGCAGAAGGAAGGGGCCGTGCTCCCCTAGCAGACGCTGGCAAACCCCAGCACCTAGCCCTGGGCTCCAGGAGTCCTGGCCTTGAGCACAGAGGCTGGACACCTGGCACTTCTGGGCAGTCAGGAGTGGGTTCTAGAAGCTTCCACCACTCACCTTGGATGGACTCAGGGGCCCCACAAAGGCTCGCAGGGTCAGCACAGGGTCTCTGGGGCCGCCTCCCCAGGGCGGGCGTGAGAGGCCTGGGCTGTCTGGTCGAGGACCACAGCTCCCCGATCACGGGCGACGACATGTCCTCCGCCCTCAGCAGCGGCACGTAGTAGTGGCCTGGGGAGACACGCTCGCTGAGCCCCGCTCCAGGGCCCCCAGCCTGCACCTAGCACCTCAAGGCTCAGACACACAGAGGGGCCCCCCCCGCTGGGAGCAGCTCAGCCAAGAGCTCGGTGGGTGACCCGTGTGGACGGTGCTGGCATCTGGAGGAACCAAGGTGGGGGGCCGGCGGGGCAGTGGGTAGAGGCAGACACACGCAGTGGTCTTGGAGTGGAGCCCGGGTGGCCTGGCTAGGCGGACACCCAGGCACGAGTGGGTCGGAGGCCCTCAGGCCCTGCCGCACGCTCTGAGGGCAGGGGCGCCAGCTCGGCCCCCAGGGCAAGCCCACACGATGGTGGGGCCTGGGTGAAGCCTCCATTCCTGGACAGGCTGGCCCCGAGGTCGGGCCGGGGTAGTGGGCCCCTGAGAACCCAAGCAAAGGGACTGCCCAGCCGGAGAAGGCGCCTCCAGCCCAGAGCCCCGCCCAGGGTGCCGAGCCGCAGGGGCGGGAGGGAGGGTGCCCGTCTTGGCCAGGGTGGGGCAGGGCAGCAGGGAGGCGGCCCGAGGGCCAGGGGAAGCTCCTGACAGACCAACCCCTGCAGCAGGGACTCAGACTGGCTGCTCCTGCTCCTCGCTGTGCCGACGAGACGGCCCCGAGGGGTGGGAGACCCCGGCCCACTGGCAAGCACAGTCCCGACTCCCTGCTCTGGGAGGGCCCCGGCCGCAGGGCAGGGGCTCTGGGAGGACGGGGACAGCCCGGAGGCAGGAGTGGCCGTGGGGAATGGAGGGCTCAGCGCCAGCCCACTTGACCTTACCCTTTAAATACTCTCTGATCCGCTCCTTCAGCTCCACAGATTTATTTTTGCTTCTTTCGCAAATAACCTATTTACAAAGCAAGCCATGTGAACACTCGGAATCCGACCACGTTTTTGTGTCACTAAAATCCAATAAAGACAAATTCTGGTCATCAAAACAAGGGTGTGACTGGAGACTATCTGGACAGCACATGCCTTCTTCTGGAATGTTCTGTAACACTAAGGGGCCAGGACCAGGTCCAGGCCAGGAGGCGGCCTCTGCAGGCGCAGGGCAGGGGGACACCCTGGGGCCCGGGGCGCTCTGGCCGCCCGTGGGATGAGAGGGGACCCCGACCCAGCGCGGACACAAGTGCTGGGGCGTCACAGCTGTGGGAACTGACTCCTCGGCCCTCAGAGAACCGCAGCGACGAGACGTTCCGCGAGACGCGGTGAGAAGCCGGCTGGAAGGAAGGGAGCAGGAGCAGAATCCCCGTCTCACCAAGGTCACAACAGTGAAATTCGTCAGGAAGCGCCCTGACGGAGATGCGCCCTGCGCTGAGCCGGCTCCCAGGCCGTGCCTCACACTGCAGGCCTGCGTCGGAGCCAGAGCCACCCACACAGAGGCCACTCCCGGGTCCCGTGGCACCAGCACTCGGGCGGGCGGGGAAGGCCTCCCTCTACCCTCGCCAGGCCCACGCCCGCCCTCACAGCTGCTCCCTGCCCCACAGGGCGCCTTCTGCTCGGCCTGCACGGCCCCACTCGTCCTGCCCAGCCACACGCCCACCAAAGCAGACCCAGCCCAGCCCGGCGCCGGTCTGTCCTCTCTGCCCCAGATGGCCGAGGGCGCCTGAAGGACTCAGCTGCAGCAGAGAGCGCGGCCCCTGCCTCGGGGTGGCGGTGGGTACTCACATCTTCGGGGGTTTTGTCCTGTTTGTTTCTCGGGTTTGTCACGATTAAAGGGTGTGAGGACAGCACGTTGACGACGTCTGCGTGCCCAAATTTACAAGCAAAGTGCAGCGGCGTATCGTAGGCCTGAGGAACGGAGGAGACGCTGCTGACCCCACTTGGGTCCCCAGGGCCGCCCTCGGGCACAGCAGCATTCAGTGACACAGTCGAGAGCCAGGGCCCACGGAGGACGCTGCCTCTGTGAACAATCTGCCGGCAGCGGCTCCCTTTGGCCAGGCCTGTGGGCGCGTCTGCTGCCTGGGTCCAGTGGGCATCCCCACAGCTGCTCCGGGTAGGCCTGGCTCCCTGGGGTGAGCGGCAGCCGCAGGGACCCACCTCCTCTCAAAGCAGCCTGGGCACTGCGGGGAAGGCATCCACACCCGCTCCTCAGGAGGGGTCCCTGCCCCGACTCCCCACGCGACCCCTTCGCCTGGGCCTATGGGAACTACACTGCATGGCGACCACAGCTCAGGCACAGCCTGTCCACCCCACGCACCCACCGGGGCCAGGACAGGCCTGAGCACCCCCAGGGCAGCAGGCTCCAGCCCCGCGTCCCTGGCAGGCCTGCCCGTTCCCTGTGCCACTCCCCTGAAAGCCCGGCTACCCGCACACCCCTGCCCAGCGCAGCCCACATCTTTGCGCCAGCCCTGCCTGCCCCAGCCCTGCCAGAGCGGAGAACCTCCCAGTCAAGGGCCGACGCCAGCATCAGGCACACAGGCCGCCCCATCTGCCCCGACTCACCTGCCTTGCCACTAGTGCGAGGTGTCCCACCTGTGATGATGTCTGCAGAGCGTCAGGCCCCCCTCGAGCTCCACGAACCTGACCCCAGGCCTGCCCTCACTCCACACCCTGCAGTGAGTGTATGTGTGGCCACCCCGCTGGCGGCTTTCGGCCACAGACACAGGAGCGCGCGGGGCATGGATTCCTGGGGGGCTCAGGGCACAGCCAGACCCCATCCTCAGCCATGGCGCCCCGGACATCGGCGCAACTGGGAGTGCACGCAACTGGGAGCCCAGCAGCTGGGCCTCACGCCACCACACCCCCCGCATAGCTGCACGGATTCTGCTGCTCCAAATCCTCACTGAGGCCTCACGTACGGTGGAAACCATCCACTGGCACTGCTAACCCCATGTGGGCAGTTTCCAATGTGACGCTCAGTGGGAAGAAACCATGTGCACAGGACATGGGAAGGTGCCAGAGCTTTCTGATGTCCCTTCAGCCTGGGCACCACACCCAGCTCAGCCTGCCCAGCCCAGGCCTCCGGACAGCCAGGAGGGTGGGTGTGTGGAGCAGCAGGGCAGGCCCAGGGCAGGGATGCAGCTCACATCACAGCACAAGCCTCGCTCTGATGAGACCATCCCCGCCCCCCGCCGCTGGGCACACCTGTGTCCCGCCCCCCGACCCCCACCCTGCACACACCGCCTTGTCCGGGGTGTTCAGGTACAGGTCGACGACGTAGCAGATGCGCTTCTGTAGCATGTGGGGTCGTCGTCTGGGTACATGAGCCGCATGAACTCGGGGTCTTCCAGGGTGTCCAGGGTCAGCTGGCATATGTGGGCCTGGCCCTCCTTGGCGGCCACGTGCAGGACGTTGTACCTGCACCCCTCCTGAGGAAAGCAGCAGACCTCAGCTCCCGCCGGGCGCCACCAACCGCTGCCGGGTCCGGGCACACGGGCAGGCTTACCTGCACAATGGTCGGGTTATCCCCGGAGCCGATCAGATACCGCGGGTTGCTCCAGACAAGGTCGGAAAAGGCCTCGCCCTCTCCCTGCTCCACCGCTCTCCGCAGCTTGGCAGTGAGGTCCTGCGTGCGGGGGTTTCTGTAGCTGTTTGCTCGCTCCCTGTTTGCAGCTTCTGGCTCGGACGGGCACAGACCATCTGACAGACAGGATTTAGGGATGCTGACTCCACCAGTGCCAGCCCCACCACCAGGCACCCTCTGGGCCAGGCACCTCCCTGAGGCTGCATCCAGCTGGGTCAGCGCACGCAGACCCTGACCCAGCACTCCATGGACGATGCCTGCTGTGCTGTGTAGGCGGCGACAGCAGCACAGCCTGGCTGCATCCTGCTGGGGCGGCTCAGGCTGCAGGCAGGGAGCCCAGCAGGACCCACAGCGACCCTGCTAGAGCCCCTGGTCTCAGCGCTTTAGTCGCACCTGAACCTGTGCGAGGCCACTCCAGTGGGGTTTTCAGACTGTGAGGATGGAGATCTGTGACCAACATCATTGGGACTCCACGTAGAAGACCTAAGGCTGAGCCCGGGGCAACGGATAGGGGCAGCTGGGACTCTCCACGGAAGGAGAGGGTCTCCCCCAGAAAGCCCAGCAGCTGAGGGAGTGGGACCACCAAGAGCTATGGGGGACTCGAATGAAGTCAAAGGCACAGTCTGGGTTTCTGTGCCCAACAGGCAGTGGGAGGAGGTGGAGACAAAGGCGGCAGTGTGGAGGGCTTGCTGTCCAGCCCCAGGACAGACTGACCCGCTCTCCTCGGCTGTCCACAGCCAGGCCCAGGCATACTACTCACCGGTAAGCTGCAGAAAGCTGGTGCCGCAGGTGAGGAACGCGGCCACCAAGTGTCTGCAGGGGAGTTGGACACACGCACCAGAGGGAGTCACTGCGGGACTTACCTTTGAAGCCACCGTTGGCAGAGATGGGCGCTGCCTTCACGGGAGATGCTGGTGCAGAGGTTTTGTTTGGAGAAGGGAAATAATCAAAAATTCCCCTAGCAAACTTCTCAGCGTCTTCTCTACTTGAATAGGCTTTAAATCGGGACCCTTTCATCATTTTGACAGCTTGCAGTGCCTCCTTTTTATCTTCATAAACATGAATCTTTTCTGCAAGAGAAAAGCAATGAAGGAAAATTAAAGACATGTAACTGGGCCAGGTCATCTCCACCCAGAGTTTGACAAGACGCTGCGGCTCCCCAGGGCCTGACTGCTCTTCTGATGTTAATGTTTCAGAGCTTTACTCCTGAAGAAAAAAACTTAGCCAGGGTGGTGCAGAGGTTAAGTTGCAGCACTAGGAAGCCACCTGCAGCACGAGTTCGATCCCTGGCCAGGGAGCTGACCCACAGGACACAGCAGACCTCTCCTGTCTCCCCACTGCTCCCCTCAGCAGTGTGTTTCACTGGATCCGCCTGTTCTACCCCCGACTATGTCTCTGGGGAATCCTCTCACCCCCATACCTCTGGCCTGTACCCCAGTTCTTCCATGCATAAATAAACCTTAAAAAAAAAAAAAAAAAAGGCAAGTGGGCCTCCCTGGTGGCGCAGCGGTTGGGCGCTGGGCTGCAAAGCTTCCCATAGCCTCTGCAGCATTGGTTCGATCCCTGGCCGCCGGCGAGGTTCCCACATGGTGCGCAGACCTCTCCTGCCGCGCCCGCTGCTCCCCTCAGCAGTGAACTTCGTCACTCTGCCTGTTCTGTTCCCAGCTCTGGCTCTGGTGAATCCTCTCACCTTCCCGCACATCTGGCCCATACCCTGGTTCTTGTATAAAATAAATAAATCTTTTTTTTTTTTTTTAAAAAGGCAAGTTAAAAAACTGACAATAGGAAACAATGCCAGAGAATTTTAGACAAGATTTTGAGTTGGGAATGCCTTTCTGAGCACACCAAGAAACTTAAAATACTTAAAGGCAACAGTTCCCATTATGTAAAAAATCACAGTTCTATAAGGAACCACCATATCGAGTCCTGACTCAGCTCGCACACACATAAAACACAAACAACAGGGAACTTATAAGACCGTGTCCACGGCCCAGTAAAAATGGCCAATGGGTGTGACAAGGGCTTAGCGCGAGAGGGTGGCTGATGGCGCGAAGGCAGCCTGGCTGGTGAGGCAGAGGCCCCGCACTTGGCAGCTCAGCGGCAGTCGCTGTGACCACAGGGCAGAGGCGGCTCCTGTCCTCCTTTCTCAGCTAGGACGTGGGCTCAGTGCCAAACTGCAGAGACTGGGAAGTTCTCTCCCCCACAGTGGACTGTGGTGTGTTTGGAGGGCAGAAGCTTTCAGTTCTGCCTCACTTCCGAGCCTCACACACTTGGGCAGGAGTGTAAGCAGACGCAGCTGCTGCAGAGGCAAGTGTGCAGGGTCCTCAAAGAACAGAGACATCAAGCAGTCCAGCACACCCTTGTCTGGACACGCACCCGAAGCACGGGAAAGCTCTGGTCTGAGAGACACACACCCTACACCCAAGGCAGCACTGGTCACAGCACAAGCCGCGGAAACAGCCCAAGCACCAGGCATGAGTGAGTGAGTGAAGATATGGTCGGCACTCAATGGAGCACGACTCAGCTGTAAAAAGGTGTACTCCTACCATTTGCAAACACGTGGATGGAACTGGAGGGGATGAAAGACATCCCAGACAATTTTACTCATGTGGAACATACAAAGGAACAGACAAAGTTAAACCAAAGCAAACCCTAGAAATCTGACTGCAGAACGAGGCACTGGGGTTTTGGGGGGTTGGGGCAGGACACGCTGAACTATGGAGGATTATTGGTGCTTTGGTGGTGGATGTAGTGTGACCACATACATCTGACCTGTTTCCCTGAGACACAGACTGTGTTATAAACCAACATTATAGCTCAATTAAAAAAAAAACAAAAAAAACCTTATCTTTTCACCTGACACTTCTACTTACCACTTTTAAAAAATTAAAAGTAATGTACACCTAAAGGACCTATACAAAGAAAACTGTAAACACTGTTAAAAAAAATAGAAGACACAAAGAAATGGAAAGACATCCCCTGCTCATGGATTGGAAGAATAAACATTATTAAAATGGCCATCCTTCCAAAAGCAATATACAGATTCAATGCTATTCCAATCAAAATTTCAATGTCATTCTTCAAAGAAATAGAACAAATATTGATGAAATTCATATGGAATCACCAAAAACCCCAAATAGCCAAGCTCTCCTGAAAAAAAAAAAAGAAGGAAATGGAGGCCTCACACTCCCAGACTTCAAACTATACTACAAAGCCATAATCATCAAAACTGCATGGTATTGGAACAAGAACAGACATACAGACCAATGGAGAATAGAAAATCCAGAAATAAACCCACAGATTTAGGGTCAACTAATCTTTGACAAAGGAGCAAAGACTATGCATTGGAGCAAAGAAAGTTTGTTCAATAAATGGTGCTGGGAAAACTGGGCCGCTACATGCAAAAGAATGAAACTTGACCACTACCTCACACCATACACAAAAATCAACTCAAAATGGATTAAAGAACTAGACATAAGACCTGAAACCATAAAATACATAGAAGGAAATATAGGCGAAACACTACGTGATATGCACATCAAAGACATCTTACAGACACATCACCCAAAGCAGTGATAGTGAAGGCAAAGATCAACAGCTGGGACGACATCAAATTAAAGAGCTTCTGCACAGCAAAAGAGACAATAACAAAAACAAAGAGAAACCCCACCAACTGGGAGAACATTTTTGCACCCAACACTAATGATAAAGGACTGATCACAAAAATCTGCAAAGAGCTGATGAGACTCAGCAACAACAAAGAAAATAATCCAGTCAAAAAATGGGCAGAAGAGCTAAAAAGAAACTTCTCTGAAGAGGAAATGCAAGTGGCCAACAGACATATGAAAAAATGTTCAACATCACTCGTCATCAGGGAAATGCAAATCAAAACTACCATGAGATACCATCTCACACCAGTGAGAATGGCACATATTAAAAAAACTAGCAACAACAAATGTTGGCGAGGGTGTGGAGAAAAAGGAACTCTCCTGCACGGCTGGTGGGAGTGCAAACTGGCCCAACCACTGTGGAGAGCTGTGTGGAGATTTCTGGACCTACTAGACATAGAGCTTCCATAGGATCCAGCAATTCCACTCCTAGGGATTTACCCAAAGGACACAGAAACATCCATTCCAAAGGGCACCTGCACCCCTATGTTTATAGCAGCACTGTTGACAATAGCTAAGCTTTGGAAACAACCCAAATGCCCAAAAATAGATGACTGGATCAAGAAGATGTGGTCCATACACACCATGGAATATTACTCAGCATTCAAAAAAGATAAACACATGCAAGTTGCAGCAACATGGATGGCGCTGGAAGGGATCATGCTCAGGAAATAAGCCAGAAAGAAAAAGAAAAATACCGGATGGTCTCACTCATAGCAGGAATCTAGAAAACTTAAATAAGGGACCAGGAAAACGAATAACTATAAGAAAGTGAAAATCAAAATCAACAAAAAACTATGAACCAGAGACACTCTATGGGGGGTTGGGGGCGGGGAGGGGAGGGATTAGGGTCAAAATAAGGGGGTTGCAATTGTATGGGGAATATAAAAATAAAATTTATTAAAAAAAAAGTAATGTACACCTGAATATATATTTGTTATATTTAAATGAAAATGTTAAAGATAAGGGCCTCTCTGGTGGTGCAGCAGGTTGAGCACAGGACTGTGAAGCTGTCCGCAGCCGCTGTAGCATGAGTTTGATCCCCTGGTCAGCCAGGGAGCTACCCACCCGGCGCAGCAGATCTCTCCTGTCTCCCCACTTCTCCCCTCAGCAGCGTGTTTCAGTTGATCTGCCTGTTGTGCTCCCCACTCTGTCCCTGGTGAATCCTCTCACCCCCTGCACCTTTGGCCTAGACCCCAGTTATTGTACGCATAAATAAATAATTCTTTTAAAGAAAGAAAATGTTAAAGATAAAAACCATCTTAACTTATACACATGTGAAACAGAAGGGTCTGGGTGATACACAAGGTTACTAAGGGTGACATCCAGATTTGGGTGAGGGGAGGGAAAAAGCCTCAACTTTACTTTGTAAGTCATACATGTAATATAGTCATAAACTTTAAGGTTGAAAACAAACAGAAACTGCAACATGATCTCACTAAGTTTTCTTTAAAAAACGCTCATCAGCCCCAACACATGCCGTGTCCACCCGGTCTCCCCTCGGCGTCACCACCACGACATGACTCCTGGCTTCATAGCCTTGGGCTCTCACCAAGCCCTCCAGGGCTAGCTCAATTCTTTTCTTTTTTTAAAAGATTTATTTCTTCATGCATACAAGAACCAGGTTACAGGCCAGATGTGCAGAAGGGTGAGCGGGTTCACCAGAGACAGAGCGGGGAGCAGAACAGGCAGCCTGACCGAAATACACTGCTGAGGGGAGCAGCGGGCGAGACAGGAGAGGTCTGCCACGCCATGTGGGTATCTCCCTAGCTGGCCGGGATTAAACCAGCACTACAGAGGCTGCAGACAGCTTCACAGCGCTGCACTCAACCACCTGTGCCACCAGGGAGGCCCCAAAAATTGCAATTCTTGATGCTGAAAATGATTTCTGCTTTCATCAGCCACTTGCTGTAACAAATGGCGCTGAGATATACTGAACTGAAAAAGCAATGATTAACCGCCAAAAGGCAGCCGGCCAAAAAAATATTTAGAAGTAGAGTAAACCTCATAGAAGCCAATGCTCGGAAATAAATCACATAAAGGTTTATGACAAAATTCAGGAAGGTGCTCACAAAACGCTGACAGTGGCTACCCAGGGCCGAGGAGAGCGCGGTGGGAAATCCCCCAGCCCCTTGTAGCTCGTGATCTCCAGAATCGCCTCTCCCTGCTGGCTGCGCCCCTCTGGGAAGGAAGCCTCACCTGCTATGCTACTGCTTCTCAGGGTGCGTCCTCGGGCGCCGGGCACACGCCATAGAACACAGGGGGCTCCACGGGGGTCCCCACACCGCTCCTGCAGCCGGCTGCACGGAAGGGTGCGGTGCTGGCCTCTGCAGTCACAGCATCCTCCTCCGGGGGGTTCAAGCCCACGCTGTAACCGAAGTCTCTGTCTTCAGCAAGGCCGGCCTGCTCAGCTGGGACCCCGACAGCAGGGTGAAGACCCCGCTGGGCGTCCGGGCTGAGAGAGGGGCCTCCTGCAGCCTCCTGCTCGGGGCTGGCGCCAGGCAGGGCGCTCCTGTGCTCCAGTAACGCCCGAGCCAGTTTCTTCTCAAAAATGAACCTGGTAGTTGACGTAATGGGGCCGCATCTCAACCCATTCTTGACAATTTCCTCTCTCAGGTCGTCCGGGTTCAAGAGCTTCAAGCGCGCCAAGATGGCGTCCATGGTCACCCCACCTAGGACGAGAGGGCACATGATGGCCGCGAGCGCCTCTCCTCTGCCAGAAAGCAGGCACAAGAAGCAAGCCTCGATGTCTGCCCCCACCCAGAGTCTCCCCGAATTCCCCGGAGCCCACGCGCGGACTGTGAGTCCCCACAGGTCCTGCCTGTTAACCTCTAGTGACCCAGGCGCTATCAAGGCCAGTGGCTTCGGTCACCGGGAGGCCCCATGGCCCCGCACTGGACGCTGCCCTGGCCCCCGAGGCAGCAGTGCTGGGGGTTGAGGACACTCAATGCTTCATGGTCTAACTTGGAGTGAAGCCCCCGGAGGCAAGTTGACCTGTAACAGGACCGCAGGCCGGGAGTTGGAAGTGGGCCTGGCGACCCGGGCAGTGCGGCCACTGAGCTGCGACAAGGAGGCAGAAGACACAGAGGCACAGGAGGGCCCGCGCAACACCCAGGCCAGACCTGGAGAGGAAGAAGGGACACCGCAGAGCGGAGGGAGAAGATATGGCGCGCTGGCATACACATGGCGGGAGCCCAGGGTGAGGGGCTGAGGCCTGTATTTGTGGTGGGCAGACCCGAGGCCCACACAGAACCAGTGCCCGCTGCAGCTTGGCACCAGCAGGGGCCACTAAGGTGACCATCTTTGCTTTGTGCACTTCTTTAAAAATCTTAGGGTGCGATTTCTTGCCACCCAGCTGCTGGCTGTCACTACCTGCAAAGGGGCTATCAGTCTTTTACACAGTGAACGTCCCACACAGCCCCCTCTAGATGGGCCGGGTAACCTGAGGGGGTCTTCCTAACCTATTCCCCCACACCAGAGGCGGCTAGGTGGTGGCGCCAGGACCCAGGGAGGTGGAGGCCACGCAAGGCAAGGGGAGGGCGTGGGGGAGGGCGCCGTCAGCCCGGGCCACTTGCCACACCAGACCGCGTCCTGAGGTGACGCCGCACTGACAGGAAGGGAGCTCTGTCCTTGCACAAGCAAGTCCTAAATGGAACCACACACTCCACGACCTTGGGCAAGTGATTTAAACTCTTCATCTATAAAACGGACGTACCAGGGCCTCCCCGGTGGCGCAGCGCTTGAGCGCTGGGTTGCAAAGCTGCCCGCAGCCTCTGCAGCGCCGGTTCCATCCCCAGCTGCCAGGCAAGGGTCCCGCCTGGCGCGCAGACCCCCCCTGCCGCCCGCTGCTCCCCTCAGCAGTGTCCTTCGGTCCCTCTGCCTGCTCTGCTCCCCGCTCTGGCTCTGGTGAATCCTCTCACCCTCCCGCGCTTCTCACTGTACCCAGTGCTTGTGTAAATAAATAAATAAATAAATAAATCTTTAAAAAAAAAAAAACAAAAAAACAAAAAACGGACGTAACAACAGCTCCCTTCCCCGGCTGCAATGACAAGTGGATAAAATTGCACGTGTGGGCCTCCCTGGCGGCACAGCGGTTGAGCGCCGCACCGCGAAGCTGTCCGCAGCCTCTGCAGCACCAGTTCGATTCCCTGCCGGCCAGGGAGAACCCCACATGGCGCAGCAGACCTCTCATGCCTCTCCTGCTGCTCCCCTCAGCAGTGTCTTCAGTCTGTCTACCTGTCCTGCTCCCCGCTCTGGCTCTGGTGAATTCTCTCACCCTCCCGCGCTTCTGACCTGTACCCCAGTTCTTGTATAAAATAAATAAATCTTTTAAAAAAAATTTAAAACTTCGAAGCTGGGCCTCCCCTGGTGGCGCAGAGGTTGAGCGCTGGGCTGCGAAGCTGCCTGCAGCCTCTGCAGCGCTGGTTCAGTCCCCGGCCACCGGTGAGGGTCCCACATGGCGCGACAGACCTCTCCTGCCTCACCCGCTGCTCCCCTCAGCAGTGTGCTTCGTTAGTCTGCCTGTTCTGCTCCCCGCTCTGGCTCTGGTGAGTTCTCTCACCCTCCCGCGCTTCTGACTGTACCCAGTACTTATATGACTAAATAAATAAATCTTTAAAAAAAACAAAAAACAAAAAACTTCGAAGCTGTTGTACCGTAGAACCCCAGTTCTGCAGAATGGCACTGAACAAACACCTGTGCCCTCTGTTGCTAACATCCTCAGACCAGCGAGCACGCATCTGCCCGTGCGGGCGCAGAGGGAGGATGAAGCAGAGGCCGGCAGCCAGTCACCAGGGAGCGGGTGGGTGTGGACAGTGAACCTGACCCGAGAGTGACTTCTCCACCTGACTGTGCAGGCCTTGATTTTCAGAGATGCGTCTGGGATTCAGATGCTCAATAAAAAACGGGGAGAGACTCCCCAAGTGGACTACAAACCAAAACAGACGGGGTCAGCAGGCTGCAAGTCAGAGATTGGCGGGCATCCCCGGAATGACCTGTGCTCCAAAGCCCAAGAGGGCCTGGCTCATCTGAGGCTGAGAGCTCGCTCCCCGCTTGACAGGGAGGGCAGGGGAGGCCGGGGCGGGGCGGGGAGGGGCAGAGAAGTCCTGAGGCTCTGTGGGCAAGAGGTCTCTCAGCCACTCACGGACACCACAGGCAACGCATGTCCCTGAGAGACGACATCACTGACAGGTGGGTGTGGACAGGCTACTGGGCAGCCGGCCACACATGGGCTAGACGTGGACGCCAGCTGGACACCAAGAACGCGGCACAGACAAACACCAGGCCCCTGGGAAGCGAGCTGGGCGGTGGGTGCATCTCACGCCCTGATTTCCTGATGCGCAGGGGAGCCTGAGCATAGGCTTGGGGAAGTGCTCAAAGGCCGGGCCCAAGTCCTGCGGCCATTCCCTACTTGTGCATCACGCGTGTGGCCCACGGGCACCTCGCGCACAGGCACTCCCGGTCACTCGCACAATCACCCACCACCGCCGAGGTCCCTGCTGCTGCCCTCCGCAGCCACGTCCAAGCTCCTCAGTCCCGGCCTCTGCAGCCACTGCCCGTCCCGCAGCTGCACCGCACGCACGTGAGCAGGGGAGCGCGAGGGCGGGAGCACCGCCCAGGCGCCCCAGTGCAGCTCATGCTCCTGACCCACGCGCCTTCAGGTTGCTTCCAGTTTTGGCAATTCCAGACCAACTATTAATAATCGTATATGGATTTTGTCTAAACAGCCCGTTTCTCTAGGCCAAAGGACCAGACATTCAGAGCGAGTTTAAGCTCCGAGGAACCCCCAGGGTGGTAGTGTCGGGACTTGCTCTCCGCCCCCTCCGGAGTGCTGGTCATGGATCCTTGTGGGTCTGGCTTGTCCTTCACTACTGGCCAGTGACGCTGGTCATCTCCTCACATGTCCATTTCTTTGTGCCACTTTCGTTAGTTTTTACAAATACAAAATTATTCCAAAATTAAAAGCCAAAAATTAGAAATTTTTAGAGAAAACAGATTGACCCAAACTGCCCCTCAGCCTGTTCCCTAAAGCCATACACGCTGCCCGCTCTGAGTTGGGCATTTTCAGTGCGTCCTGCCTGAGGCCTCAGCAACACGGCCTGAGCAGCTGGACGCCAGCTGCTCGCTACAGGCGAGGGGCTCAAACAGTCTGCAGCCCCCAGCACAGGGGGGCTGGGCCCAGGCCTCAGGCCTATCCCGCCGGCCTCTGCCTCCTGCTTGTGCAACTTCCCAGGGCCATGGTACAGATGCAAGGCCAAGCCTTGGGATGTCAGTCACCCCAAGGCCCCCATTAGCCCTAAGGTTTGGGGTGAGGGGGAGATCAATATGCTTTCTGCTAATAAAGTTCCACCTCCGATCAGGGCGTGTGAAGAACTCGTTTACCCTCCTGACTCAGGCAAGGAACCAGAGCTGCCACCTTAGCAAGGGGTTGGGGCACACAGGTGTAGGACCTAGGGTGTGACTGTCACGTGCCAGACGCACACCCAGCATATAACACTCTTTCCTATCTGTGTGACGGTGCCTGAGTTCCCCCAGGTCTCACCCAGAACACCAGATTCAGGCAGGGAGGGGAGATGCGGGCCACAGAGGGGGCCCAGGCCCAAGGAGGGAAACCAACCCAGCCTGGGGAGGGGGTCCAGGACAGGCAGAGGTCCAGGTCAGGGGGGCATGGGGGTCCAGGCTGCAGAGGGACCAGGATTGAGGCGTGTGGGGGTGGCCCAGGCCGGGAGGGGGTCCAGGCAGGGAGGGGGCGGGGTGTTCCAGGCTGGGAAGGGGGTCCAGGCAGGGCGGGGGCGGGGTGGTCCAGGCCGGGAGGGGGTCCAGGCAGGGGGAGCAGGTGGTCCAGGCCGGGAGGGGGTCCAGGCAGGGCGGGGGCGGGGTGGCCCAGGCCGGGAGGGGGTCCAGGCAGGGGGAGCGGGTGGCCCAGGCCGGGAGGGGGTCCAGGCAGGAAGGGGCGGGGTGTTCCAGGCTGGGAAGGGGGTCCAGGCAGGGCGGGGGCGGGGTGGTCCAGGCTGGGAAGGGGGTCCAGGCAGGGCGGGGGCGGGGTGGCCCAGGCCGGGAGGGGGTCCAGGCAGGGGGAGCGGGTGGTCCAGGCCGGGAGGGGGTCCAGGCAGGAAGGGAGCGGATGGTCCAGGCCGGGAGGGGGTCCAGGCAGGAAGGGAGCGGGTGGCCCAGGCCGGGAGGGGGTCCGGGCAGGAAGGGAGCGGGTGGCCCAGGCCGGGATGGGGTCCGGGCAGGAAGGGGCGGGGTGGCCCAGGCCGGGAGGGGTCCGGGCAGGAGGGGGCGGGGTGGCCCAGGCCGCGACGGGGTCCAGGCCCGGGCGGCGGGGCCCGCGAGGCGCGGACGGAGGCGCAGGCCCGGCCCGGAGGCGGCCGGGAGGCGGCGGGCGGCGCGGACCCGCCGGCCGAGCGGCCTTACCTGGGCCTGGGCCTGGGCCCGGGGCGGCGGGCGCGCGGGGCGGCGGGCTGGGGCTCCCGGGGCGGCCCCGGCCCCGCGGCCGCTTCTCCAGCCGCCGCACCAGCCAGCGCACGGCGATCAGCAGCACCGAGGCGCCCAGCAGCTCCCAGGCCAGCGCCGTCCACTCGGCCGCCGCCACCCGCGGCCACAGCATCGCCGCCGCGAGGAGCCGCGCAGGCCCGGCCGCCGCTCTGTCCGCCCGCGGGGTCCTGCAGGCGGCGCGCG